AAGTTTGTCACTTCGAGTTGTACACAACAGCCACATCATCTCAAAGGACCAAAAACACCAAGTGAGCAAAGTAATTCAACGTTGCGATTTTGCCTTGCCTACTGTGAAGATGGAGACTTCTACTCGGTAGCAGATACTCATATCACTAAGCTGGGAGGGAGAGCGTGGCGTGTAAAATGTTGGGATGAAAAGAGCCACATTCTCTCTCGGAAAAGGTCGTCGTTCCCACACACGTACACTTGCTCTACCCAGATCTGCAGAAGGCTAGATTTTGCATGCACGTGCGAGATTCGCATCCGCCGCGCACATAGCCTAGCCAGAGTCGAAATTTTTGTACTCTCGGATTTGCCGCCATCTTGACGAGTGGCCGCTGCGAAACACCCGTGTATGGTGAACGCTACAAGATCAGGAATTAGCGCTCGCCATCGACGCAGTTTCGCACGTAGGCACTAGCGACTGTGAATGCTCAGCGTAGATGACTGAGCGACACCACCACATAGGATGTGTCGCAATGTTACGAACAGACATCACACAAACACACACAAACACACCACCAGCAAAAAGCGCAGGCGGATTCACCATGCTCACGCAGCTACGCGATCGATTGCAGCTCTTACCTGAGGTAACGTTCTCCGATGGCTGAACAACATCGATCGCTGGTGACCTTCCACTCGCCACCTGACGGAGGAGATAAGGCCAAAACACAAAACCCCGAACCGAGAACGACAGTATGAAACGCGATCTACAAAACACCAAACAAAGAGCCAGCGAACAGCAACCACATGCGCAAACTTACGGCAACTAACGCAACCAACAGTAGGCTGGCAATGGTCACCATCTTGCTGGCTCAGCGTGCTCCAATCCACTCGCTAGGTACTCTTTGCCAGGTGAAAGCGTCTTTCTCGGACTAAAAGTAAAACTGCGAACTGCAAACTGCAAACTGCAATGAACTGATATCTGGACGGCTTCTGTGTGGCTGTTACACTTCGGAGCTTCGGCTTCGAATGTGACAGTGTGTTTGGCCTCAAATCGCTCTAGTTTTCCATAAATTTCCAGCGGTTTAAAGATAAAAATGCAAATGCACGCCTTGATTGCACCTAGCACCTCTTGCTTTCTTTGGCCTTTTCTTTCGCTTCTTTCCTGATAGGTTACCTTTTTCCTTTGTCTAGTATCCTTGAGACTTCAGTCTTCTACTGCCGCTATGGCAGTGTCTATTGTCTAATGATGACTCCGAAGCTGAAGCTCGCAGTCCAGGCCTAGGACTAGTAAGAGTTCCTACCGGATCGTCGTGCATGCTGTCCGTGTAGGTAAGTGCTGAAGTAACTAGTTAGTGCCGATATGGAAATTTCGGCCTTTTCGGCGGCCAATGCTGATGGCGACGCTGCGATGGTTCCGTGGGTTTGCAAACACCGACGAGTGCCTTGTTTCATGCCCCGAGTCACGATTTCCCTGTTGGGTCAGGGCGGCCTTCACGAGTTCGGCAGGCTCTTTCGAATGCCTTGCCAAGGCTCTGCGCTTAGCGCGTAGCAACATCAACAGACGGCTTCCGTCACGTCATTGGGCAGGCCCTGACGAGTGCCTTGCCAATCTCTGTACCTACAAGTAACTGGTATCCAACCCCATCGATGGACGACGCGGACATGGCGGATATGCGGCGGCTTCTGTCACGGCAGTGGGCAGGCCCTGTCGCGTGTCTTGCCACACTCAAACCATCCGTCCACTGTCGATGGACGACGGTCTCACCAGTGGGCAGGCCTTGTCGCGTGCCTTGCCACACTCTAGCCATCCATCCACTGTCGATGGACGATGGTCACACCACTGGGCAGGCCCTGTCGTGTGCCTTGCCGCACTCTAACCATACGTCAACTGTCCATGGACGATAGTCTATAGTGAGCAGGCCCTGTCGAGTGCCTTGCCACACTCTAGCCACTCTAACTATCCATCCACTGCGGATGGACGATGGTCGAACCAGTGGGCAGGCCCTGTCGCGTGCCTTGCTACACTCTAACCATCCGTCCACTGTCGATGGACGATGGTCTCTACAGTGGGCAGGCCCTGTCGCGTGCCTTGCCGCACTCTATCCATCCATCCACTATCCATGGATGATGGTCTCGTGGGTTTGCAAGCACCAGCGAGTGCTTTGTTTCTTGCCCTGAGTCGTGCCTTCCTGGTGTGGTCAGGGCAATTTCATGAAAAGCAGGAGTGCCTTTCCAATGTCTGTGCCTAACTCGCATCCACCCATATCGGTGGACTGTGCGGTCATTGTAGATATGGTGGCTTCCGTCACGCCAGTGGGCAGGCCCTGTCGGGGGCCTTGCCACACTCTAACCATTAGTCCATTGGTGATGAACGATGGTCTCGTGGCTTTGCAAGCACCGGCGAGTGCTTTCAAAGTTTGTTTCATGCCCAGAGTCACGCCCATAACTTAATGCCGTTCTGCCATGCTCATATTGTTGTTTCGCAAGTACAGTTCTACCTGTGTTTGCTTGCTCCTATACCAAGCAGAATCCCGTATTGACCGGGAAATGTTCCTGCATCAAAGGGCTGTGGATCGAACGTGCATCCCTGTGTCAAGCGGAATAATGTCATATCAGACCAGTTTCCGCTGCACCACGGGCGTCCGGTTAAGGCAGGTTTACCTGTATGTAGATACATGGTTCTGGAAGCATGATCACGATGTCAGAGGTGGCTGATGCACCTCTGTGAGCAATGAAAAATAAACATCAAATGGTTGCCATTTGTGCAGTGCTAACAATGTACTGCCACTCCTATTGTTCAAGCACCTTTTGTGATAGGAACCTCGAAGTGGTGAAGCATATGACACTTTTACTGTTGCCATACCTCAGTAGTAGTAGTCTCCCCTCTCTCTCTCTCTTACATTCGCCGCAGGGTCGGGAGCCCCTTTGCAGCTTATTGCCGCCGGCTCTGCTGACACGGCCAGAGCTCTGACCGTTCGCCTTTGCATGCCCGTAGGCATTATTATTACTAGTTAATGATTTCGTGTGAAGCTTTTGCGTTCAAAGTTTTATATTTCAATTGAGTCTTCTATTTTATTCCGAAATTGGGTTGTCTTTTTGCTTTGACTCTTACTTCATGGTGTTGTGAATAAAACCGTTCTCAAGTAGTAGTAGTAGTAGTAGTAGTAGTAGTAGTAGTAGTAGTAGTAGTAGTAGTAGTAGTAGTAGTAGTAGTAGTAGTGGTAGTAGTAGTAGTAGTAGTAGTAGTAGTAGTAGTAGTAGTAGTAGTAGTAGTAGTAGTAGCATACTGCTGCTACACTTCAACGCGGGAATGCGTATAATAATAATAATACCTCAGTCTGACCTTCGGTGGCTGGAGCACGTACGGACACGGGCGCTCCAGCTATCTGCTGAGCGTAGTGCCAAGAGTGCAATGTCATGTACACTTGCCTTTGTGTACGCTATGACTTGTGGTATACTGCCTTCCACTACTCAAGTTAGTGCCCATCTCGGGCACCGCGAGGGACCACCCACCCCCTTCTTGGTCTGGCCAGCCAAGGCCTTGCACGATTACTGCCGCATCCATAACTGGGATCAATTCATTGCCCATATGATATGTGCATATCAGCGCGGCCCTTTCCGTACAACGGCAGGTCCAAGTAACCATATCTGTAATTTACTACTGTGGATAGCATTTCATCGTACGTATCCTGGAATATCTACGCACCCAGAAGGAATCTACTTATAATTATAGCTAGCAACCATAGCTAGCAACCAGATCAGTCTCGTACTGTTTAGTACTGATATGGCGGATACGCCGGTACTGCATTCACGTGTGCCTTGTGCCCGACCCACCATGAATGCAGAGTACGGGGCAGTTGTGACTTTTTGAGCTCTGCAAATTTTCAAGCCCAACCGGCACTAGGCCGGTCTGGAGGTAGGCATAACAGGCCCCTTGATGTGACAATGTCGTCTGAGGAGTCACCCACCGCACCAGCAGATGTAGACCTTGCTGTGATGGACAATCAGGAGATCCGGCATCTCGCCAAGAGTCACAGACTGGAACACTCGGGACTTTCCCGTACCCAGATAGTCAAGCTTCTTCGCGACAACGGTATTGGTTCGTCGACAAACTCAGCAGGTCAGTCTGACAAGGTGCGCGATGTTGTTCAGCAGGCATTGGCCGATATTGCAAAAAATGTTAAAGAATTGGCCGCCAAGGTAGCCCTAATTTCTGCCTTGCAGTTGGAGGTGTCGTCCCTTCGAGGAGAATTGGCGGCTCTCAAAGAAAGGAACTCTGATCATGACCCTGTACAAACTAGCACACCTGAACCTCAACCCGTACGTGTACAACCGCCTGCTGACAGCGTCAGGTTGTACAGCGCGGCGGCACGTGCACAGTCGTCACAGGTGCGAGCACGGGATAACACATGGGGAGGCCCCAGCCAGCAGGCCAGTACTACACGACCCCAAACAAACAAGTCACCCAGGCACTCAGGTCACGTCGTACTATGAAAACCGGCCAAAGCGCTCTGATCAACTACAGGGAGGATCCCGCACAAAATGTTGCGCTTTGTATGTGGGCAATGTCAATAGTGGGTGCACATCAGAATCGATCGCCAAATGGTGTGAACGCCGAAATATACCTGTCATCAAGTGCTCCGTGTCTGAGACAAAGTACTTCGGGTTGGCCTTTGCTCACGTAATTCTGCCATTACAACACAAAGCTACTGTTCTGGAACCGGAATTCTGGCCTTCAAACGTCAGAGTTCGAGAATGGCGCTTCAAGGGTGACAGTGTAGCAACTGGTCGAGCTGCAGAGGAGCACTAAATGTTCTGTTTAAATCCTCACGCAGCCCCCTTTCAACCCTTAAACCCCCCCATGCACCTATCTTTCAGCCACGAAATAGTTGCCCCACTGTAAATCCCCTACAGCATGAATTAATTAAAAGTAACCTCAAAATAGGATTCCTAAATGTTTGCCATCTTCTCAATAAAAAGCATGAAATTGAAGATTATATTCTTTCCCATAAAATTGATATAATGATGCTGGCAGAGACTTTCTTAACAACCTCCGTTTCCGATGACATCCTACGCATACAGAATTACACCCTGGTCAGACGCGACAGGCCAACTCATGGCGGAGGCTTAGCAGCATATGTAAGAGATCATCTCCGAGCCCGAATTGTGAAGGCTGACACCCAGGTGGAAATGCTCATGTTAGAGGTCAGTGGGCAGCGTTCCAAGGTTCTCCTTGGTGGCGTGTACCGTCCTCCAGGCACTCCTGTGCAATTCTGGCAAGACTTGACGAATGCACTAGACACTGTCATCTCCACACTTCCCACGTCACCTCTGGTCCTTGTTGGAGACTTCAATGTCGATGTAAGCTCCCGCGACAGCCCCCAGCTAAACAGCTTGCTGCACCTGTGTAATTCTTTCGACATCAAGAACCAAGTGGACAGTCCTACCAGAATTGGACCCCAAGGCAGCCAAACAACCCTGGATCTCGCTCTGGTCGGAGACGATCATGTGAACTCTTGTGTCGTAGTACCTTGTACAATCAGTGACCACTTCGCTCTGGCACTTGATTTGCGACTCACAACGTCCTGCACACCGACCGTGCGACGTGGCCGTAACATTGCAAGAATTGATATGGGTCGATTTGCACACCACCTTCTAAATAGCGATCTAGAGAACTTCTGCTTTGCGCGGACAGAAGATGAAATGTGGGATATGTGGCTGGAGAAACTTGTCGCGGCCTTGAACACTCATGCTCCTATCCGTCTACACCGCCCAAGAGCTCCTACCCGGAAATCCTTCCCCTGAAAGACGCCAGCTCTACATGACCTAGTCCAGCGACGTGACGCGGCCCATCGACGGTGGAAAGCATCACCTGCAGACCCGGCACTACGCAATGTCTTCACTTCTGCCCGAGACGAAGCCAAGCGTATGTCACGACATCTCCGAGCCACCTACTTTAGGGACCTTCTTGCTGCTAGTCAGGCCAACGCACGAAAAACCTGGCAGACCATCAACTACCTCAGCGGTCGTAACAAGTCCTCAGTTCCACCAGCCGTCAGTGTCTCACAGCTCAGTGACCAATTCAGCGGTGTTGTGTCAGACCCAACTAGACCACTACGTCTCTCAGCCCCATTGGGTCCCACGAAGAAGGAATGCCTCGAAGAATTTGCTCCAGCAAGTGTGCAAGAGATCGCTAAGCTGCTCTCCAACATCGACGTGCGCAAAGCTGCAGGCAGCGATCAGGTTCCAGCTGCAATCCTCAAACACTGTTCTCCTGTCCTTGCACCGTCCCTCACCATACTAATCAATGCATCTCTGGCTTCTGGTGTTGTTCCTGCATCTCTGAAGATTGCGGATGTTCGTCCCCTCTTCAAGTCAGGCGACAAAGCTGTCGCTAAGAACTATAGACCAATATCGTTATTACCAATAGTTTCCAAAGTCCTAGAACGGGTAGTCCACACGAGACTCTGTAAGTTCCTCTCCGGAAATTCCTTGTTCCCCGCAAACCAGTTCGCATATCGCCCACTTCACTCCACAGAAGATGCCCTGACATTGGCTGTAGACAGATACTTGGAGGCAGCGGATCAGCAGCGCCATACAGGTCTTCTACTTGTCGATATGAGCAAGGCCTTCGATAAGGTCAAACACCAAATTTTGGTTACAGATCTATTTCAGCTTGGTATTACCTCAACGGCTCTCAGTTGGTTCATGAGCTACCTAACTGACCGCCGTCAGCGAGTCGTCCTGAGCAATGGCCAGTCGTCCGCCCTCTCTCCCTGTGAGTGTGGTGTTCCTCAGGGAAGTGTGCTGGGTCCTCTTTTGTTCTCCATCTACACAATGGAAATAGAACAGATCACAGCTCCAGCCCACTCACAGCTGTTTGCTGATGATATCCTGCTAGGCGCCATCAGTCAATCCGTCGAATTCTTGAATTTAACCCTCTCCCCTTCAGTCTCCAACCTGGCCAACTTTCTGGAAGAAAGAGGCTTAATACTAAATCCCTCCAAAACCCACGTTCTAGCCCTTCATGCGTCTCGCAGGCAGCCCTTGTTACTTAACATAGAATGCAATGGAAATCCCCTAGCTCAGACCACAAATGCTCGATATCTAGGTCTACATCTCGACACCCAGCTTCGGTGGGAGACTCAAGTTGCAACTATTACACGGAAGACCTCCCAGAAACTAACGGCGCTGCGAGCCATTCGCTCCTGCTTAACTGAGCAACAAGCCCTGCTATTTTACAGATCGTTAATACTACCGGAAATGTTGTATGGATCTAATGCCTTCTTCTCGGTTCTCTCTGCGCACCAACGGCATCAGCTTTCGGTCCTCGACAAGCGATGTATCCGCTGCGTTGCCAACCAGCCATTCCCCTCCCACACAGATCCCATCTACACCCGTCTAGGCCTCATCCCCATCATCCAAAACGCCCACTGTAAACTCCGCCTCCTCATGCTTCGTATCCACACCGCCAGAATTTGTAATCTCCTGTCCAAGCGCCTACGTCGCCAGACTGAAGGCGTCACTCGGATCAACGATCCAAATGCGTATGTTGTCCCTGCCACCAGGCGAGTCTCTGGTGACTGTCGGCCGCTCGTTTCTGCTGTTAAATTATGGAACGCCCTGCCCCAAGAGTTCAAGTCCCTCGCCTGCCATAGATCATTCAAGAGACTTTTAAAGGTTTATTTTTATGGTTAGCCAGCATCTAGGCTTGGACTTGGAGTCGTGACTCAACTGTGACTCAACTGTGCTTTCTTCTTCTTTCTTTTTTCTTTTTTTCCCTTTCTCTTTTTTCTTTTTGAGTATTTGCAGTCTGTGTTTTCTGTGTTTTTCTCTCTTTCGTGGAGGCTTGCTTGTTGTATCCTTGGCTCTCGGCCGTTACTTTATCGCCATCATAATATTGGGCACCATTGCTCGTTTGGTCTGCGATACAAAATAAAATTTCAACAACAACAACAATGTACCAGGCTTTCGTTACCAACAAGGGCTTGGCAGACGAGCTGAAGCAGCTGGATGCATGTTGTGCCAATCCCGTAATGGTGCAGCCAATGGTCCACACTACCAGCCTGCTCGGCTGTCGGTGGCCTTTCACGGTGTGCCTTACTTGGTACGAGTACATTTGCATAAATGTACTTCAAGTATAAAATAATACAGAACAGGTATATACACAACAGGCACAAGGAGGTCTTAGAGTTTGTTGCAACTCTGAGTTCCTTACTCAATGAAATCATCATAGTGCTCCGCATCGTGTTGAGCCCTCTACCCTCGAAAAGACGCCTCTTTGTCAAGGGCGTCGGAACCGCACCGGCCGGGGCGGCCATGGCCGCCCCACTTTTTCGGCGGTTTTTTTATTTTTTTTTATTTTTTTTATTTTTTTTATATTTTTTTTAGCACACTGCAACAAAGCGCGATGATCTCAGCGCAAACGTGGCAAACCCTTGTCCCCGATCGTGGTTTGTTGCAGAATCAAAAGTCCATGTACACTGAAATGGCACCAAATGCCTGGGAATGCTTGCAATTGGCTTCAATTTTTGAATTTTTTTCCCGGGGGAGGGTAATGTTTGTCCCCGATCGTAGCATCTTCTTGGTTTTTTGCAGAATCAAAAAGTCTTTCATTGTAGTTACCGTACACTGAAATGGCACCAAATGCCCGGAAATGCTTGCAATTGGCTTTAATTTTTGAAATTTTTTCCTGGGGGAGGACCCCCGGACCCCACTTCCAAAGTCGTTCCGACGCGTGACCCCCGGACCCCACTTCCAAAGTCGTTCCGACGCGCCTGTTTGTAAACAAATATACAGTTAGGCCACACTGAAGAAGGTCTGTGGTTCGACTCACCCGACCGACCGTACATTTTTCAGCCCGACCGTAACTTTTTTTCGGCGGGCTGTCGTGTGACTGACGTACGTGGACTGAACACGTCCACGTCTAGTACGTGCTGTGCAGCGTGAGTCTGCGGACGCAGGCGCTAGGCGGCTCCTTTTGGAACTTACTTTCAACTCGCATCGTTCTTCATTTGCTTGATGATTTGGACAGTCAGAGTCACCGCTTGAAGTTATTCTCTTCTCGTTCCAGAGCTACACAATGTTTCAAAGTATTAGCCAGTGATCCCTTTATACAACATGTATGGCATAACACTGCGTAATAATGCCGATGTACTGCACTGCACTGGGTGTCTAAAGGCAGTACAGTGTATTTACATCTACTAAAAAATATATTAAAAAAAAATCCGCCCGCCCGCCCGTAAAAAAAATGTCCATGTTAGTCGAACCACACACCTTCTTTAGTTTGGCCTTATGTATATTGTATAGAAAACTGCTTTCCTAGCGCAGAAGGAAATCAGTGAATATGCGATGTCTTTGTGTTCTCACCGTGGAGGAAGAACTTGATGACCTACATGTACATTCACCCTTGTCTTGCCGTAGACGTCCTGTGCACTCCCAAGGTCCATGACCATGTTGTGCAATAGCTGAGTAAGCCGTACATATACCTGAGATCTACGGATATAAACTATGTCCAGTTCAAATGACCATCCAACCAGCCATTGACTCCGCATCCTGCGTCATCTCTACCATCGCTGAGCACACGAATATGACGATTTTATCACCACAGGTCCCTGCAAGCTGGAGACCCGGTACGGCCACTGACGATGTTACCAGCCTCATGGAGCCAATGTGCTATTTGGCCATGCAGGACATGTGTCACTCGACCGGCATCCATCCGGCCATCCGGAAGTGGCTGGCGGTACACATGTCTACCGTTCGGCATGTGTTGTTCACTCCGCACATGCACCAGGTGTCTGCATCGATCGTCTGCATTTTCCGGACATGGGCGGTGAAGGTAGTGATGTGCATTGCCACCTGCCTCATTATTGTGTGCGGTCTGGTTGCGGCACACCATAGTGCAAGCAACGATCCGCCTCCTGGAGCATCTCGGGCTCCAAGTGAACCTGCACAAGTCCGGCTTGTAGCTGGTGCAGTCCCTGGAATGTATGAGGCTCACCATCCGTCTGCCATCACCAAGCCACTTGAGGCGCCTGAACGTGAAGCGTCCGGAATTGAGGAAGGCGTTCCCGCTAGCCCAGCTTCACAGTCGATCAATTCATTACAGAATATAGTGCTTGCAGGATAGAGGTCCACAGCCTGGGCTGTGCAACCTCGATATGGTCTGGTGATTCAATTGACAAGTCTCCATTACTGGGTCTGTCACTTTTCAGTCGGGGATGGCCAGCCAGTCACCTCACAGGTGCCATCGCTGCGCTACGAGAGCCCGGCAGTTCAGGACCCATGCACAGCAGCCACCCATAACCACATGACTCTGCAGGAGTTAAACTCCATTCATCTACTGCTTGTTGGCGGAGTGCCTTGGTCTGCAAACCCCAGTGCATGGCATAACGGGAGTACCTTTGCATGTCGAGATTGATCATGTGATGGCTGTTGCTTACGTATCCAAGGAAAGAAACATTGGATAACTATGTGTCTGTTAGGGCTACCAAGCGTACATAACTATTACTATTGGCGCGACCCCGCTGGCTCCACCTAGTCGCCGTCAATGTTCGGGACATCGTCCACGACCCAAACGACCGTCACGGTCTGCAGACAGCGGCAATTGCCTGTTGGACAGGTAGGTCCTTACAAAGTTACATCATTGATACAGCCCACTTGACCTATTTGTGGCCAGCCATACCCGCTAACTGGATCAGTATGTGAGTTAGCGCTCAGATCCTGAGGCCGAGGCCCAGGCTTCCTTGGTCCTTCCGGCAGACCAGACCAGTGGGAGAATGCACTTCTGCACTCTCCATTCTGCC